ATAAATTCAGACAAAATTTAAAATACAAGTAGAAAGTGATATTTTTGACTATAAACCACAAGCATGTTTAACGAATCATTTTCATAACTTGAAATGCAAATAGAAATTGTACATTTTTAAAAAATACGCACAAGTTTTGCAAACAACAAAGTTATATGGTACCATTTACCTAAAAATGCAGCTCAGGCTCAGACGTTTTTTGTATAACCATTTAAAACTATTTACAGAACAATCAGTTGTTCTGCATCAAATAAGAAGGCACAAAAATTATTTATGCAGCTCCAAAAAAAGTTTGTGTCACTATAACACAGATGAGAACAGCACAGGGATAAACCTGCAGGTCTGACAGCAGGTGTGTCACTCAGTGTTTACACTGCAATCTGCCTTTGGTGGCTTTTTTGCAGCAACTGTGAAATTCACTAGTAGAACTGACACACAAAACAATGACTACACTACACACTAACTACACAAGACAACACACTAACTTGAGACTCCAAACACGGTAAACGTCACAAATTTCTCATGTATCAAAACTCTCTCTCTCTCTCTTTCGCTCACTCCTAAAACTTCCCCCTCTTCCCAAACAACCAGATGCCACATGTTGCCATATAATTTTTTTGATTGGTCGACATGGTACATTTTTCCACCAATAGGGACGGAGTGTTTTTTCTTTTTTCACTCACAAGCAAAGCGTGTTTGCTTGCGCTCTCCTTAGAAAACACAGTTTTTACCGTGTCTTCCCAGAGTAAACGCCACTGTTTTATTAACAATAAAAAACATCGGTTTTACGTGGCCTATCAACACAATTTTAAAACTGGTATATAGTTTGAAGTCCGCAAGTTCGACCCAAGTTGAAATGGAGATTCTGGGTCCATCAACCCCAGAGGGTTAATCAGAAAGCCTTAAGTTGGCTAGTTATGTATCAGGCTAATGTTTAAAGCTTTCACTTGAGTAAATTAACTAATATCACTGCTAAGTAATGTTAGCTAAGTTCACAGCATTTTCCATAATAGTGCTGCCATACTGCATCACACTCAGTGTATTTAAATCATTTCTACAGCCAGTTTGATAGCTAGCAAAATAATAATCATCATTTTTTTAAAAATAGCATGTGTAACGTACACGTACTGGAAAATTATTTACTAGGACTCACCTATCATGCGACTGGAGAGCACAAACTCCGCTCTTGTCGTTTTCCATCAAATACATTAAAACAGCAACCTACAGTATGTTAGCGCACTCATCCCCGACTGGCCA